CCAGTCGTTACCTCCCTCTGCTCTATACTAACCTGCCCCAACCTCTGAGCATTCACAAACAACCTAGTCCCCTGATGTCTACTCAACGCTATGAAGTGCATTAAAAATCTTTGCCTTTCCCTAACATCCTGCACTATATTCCCTTTAAACAACAAATTTATCTCATCCAAAAAGATAGTCTCAGTCACCCCTAATCTCTGACTAGGAGCATGAGAAAAATCTAACTGAGCCTTTTCTGCTCAGGGCAACTGACAAGGGAAGGTAGCATACTTATTCTCCCCAGGTAATTCATTAGCCAACATGGCCAAAATAGCTGTCTTACCACTCCCTATGGGACCAAAAAATACCAAACCATTGCTTTTTTTACAAAAGTCTAAAAACTCCGGAGTATTATCCAGAATTAGTTGGCCTTTGTTTTTGAAGAGGACTAAGAGGAGACCGCCAACTAGGATACCGAGAGAGGCTCAGATACAAGTTCCTAACAAGAATTTAAATTTATCCAATAAATTAGATAAAAAACTCCCTTCACTAGGCCTATAAAAAATAAAGAGTAAAAAAATTGGGATGATTAGTAAGAATTTATAAGTCTGTAAAATCTCTCATCAGTTGATTTTTTTCAGCCTTTTTATTTTTTTCTCCGGCTTATTTTTTTCCATATACTTGGTAAAATTTCTCTAAATGTCGGCAAAAATTATTTTAATAATACTTGGTCTACAACAATAGAATAATCATGCATGATTATTTATTTCATTTCATGAAGAAATTATTAATCATAAATTATTATTTTCTCATCGTATATCCTTTTACTATCTTTTCTAATAATTGCTGAACTGCAACCCCTTCTCTTTTAGCCAACCCCTGCAATAATATTCAAGTCCCGGCAGTAAACCCACTTCTACGACAATATCGCAAACTCAACACCACATGCAAAGCCTTTTCTAACTTCATTACTTCCTCCGAATTTAAAACACCAATCTTATCTCCCAATCTACTCTTATCAATAGTTAAAATTTGGTCCGTTAAGATTTTACTTTTCTTTTTTAAAGATATTTCCGGTTCAAAATAATAAATTTTATCCAATTGCGAACTAATTAGAGTGACAATTATATCCTCACTATATTTATTTTGCTTATCATTAGAAATGACTACTACCGGTCGGTCTTTTTGACTGGCTTTTTTTCTAACTTGGCTAATTTTATCTTTTTTATTTTCTTTTTCTTCCTCAGTAAAGTCGGCTCAGTAAATTTCACCCCTCTTAGGGTGCGAAGACTCAAAACTAGTTTCTCGTCTTTTTGAAGTCTCGCAGTAAACTGTTCGCCTTTCACCTCTTCTAATTATTTTTTTACTCATTTATAATCTCTTTTGTAAATCTCTTAAAGCGGCTTTTTGAGCGGGTTTAGTTAGTTTTTTTCTTTCTTGGTCTTGGCTGATTTGCTTGTAAGCTTTTTCTAGTTCTTGGTCTTCGTGGGTGAATTCAGTTTCATTTTCAGCAATTTCTTGATAAGTTTCATATTTAATCTTCTCTTTTTGTAAATATTTTTGTAAAGTTTGCAGGTTGGCTAATTTAAAAACATGTGGGGCAATCTTCTCCCCCTGTTCTTTTTTTAGCAAA